AAAAGTTGAGATCTCCTCGCCGTTATAAATGTAGAAGAAATTATAAGTAATAATTTAAATAAAACACTTTTACCGGCTTAAATCGAGAAATGTACGAGGTAAACTTATTTACAAATTGTTTTAACTACGGCCCGGCGTTTAAAATGCTATGGAGACCACGAACGTCGGGAACGCCGTAGCTTAAACATTTTGCGGCCGAAACCGTTAAAAGTATTTTATTTAAATGCGTACTACTCGCGTAAACTACAAATATACTATAATATGTCGATATTGTCAACAAAAATATATTTTTGCCAAACATATCTTCACATAATAACATCCTTCATAAATAAAACTTTACTCGTTGACGCTTACTCAAATCATATTTTATAGATTATTAAGTCATGTCTACATCAGCTTGAGAAGGAAATTTAATGGTGTTTTGTAAAACGGCGTTAAATGATAAATGGGCTTTGCTTTTATACCATATTAGTTTTAATTACATGCTTTTAATTAATAATAAACAAGCTATACAATACAAATACATAAAAGGCTTTACACGCAAAACTTTCATAGACAACAAAGGAATTTCCCATTCCGAAATGTCATTTAATCACAAAATGGCGTCTTGACCGCCACGCACACACAAAGGAGGTCACACATGACACATTACAAAGGAAAATACAAACCGACGGGTGTCAATAATGAAATTAATTTTCCAAATGCTTTTCGCCCTATGAAAATTAAACAATTACATTCACATACCCATGTATAGATATCGAATATTTTACAAGGTTATTTAAAAACGTGAAAAATTACACTATTGTATAGATTATAATCAAAATTGGACATTTAAGAAATGTATGTCAAAAGTATGTATAGTCTGTTTGCTGTAACAGCTACTATGATTATTGTTATACTAAAATATATAAGGTATTGCGTATAGTCGTTAATAATTTAATATCGATATTATTTATTCAAATTAAAAGTCACTATTACATTGGATGAGCTATTAAAAATATAACATGTTTTTAAATAACTTATATTCAACAAAGAACTACGAAACATTTCATAAACATATATACATTAATTTTTAATCCATCATTGAATACTCAGATTTCAACTCATTCGTTTTGCGCTTCTTCGCTGTGACGCTTTGATCGATTTTTGTAACGAGAAACTATAAAAATCTTTCAACGGCGAACGGACAACGGAAACAAACAGAATTATTTCATATGAATACATATGAAATAATTCTGATTATTATAATTTGGTTTTGGCAAAACAAGATGGCGTTTCCCGCCTAAATTTTATTTCAGCGGATAAAATTATATTCTATTCTCTATTGGCTATTTTTTAATGTGTTTAGCTACAAAATGCATGTAAAATTGATTTATCTCGTTATCGCCGTGAGTTATTTGCATTCAACGCTTGGATTTGGGATTTCTTCCTTCGGACGAGCGTATACGGAACCACCAAAGCCAACAACCACCACTCAAGCACCGGGTAAGATTATAAATGTGGCTGATAATAATGGTTTTAAACGATTGTTTCATGATTTTAAAGGTTAGCAATACAATATATATTTAATAAAAACAGTTATTTTAGAGTTACTGAAGGATCCGTTTAAAATAACATTTATCTTTGTAATTGGTACATCGAGCGTCGTGTTCAGAGAAAAAAAATACTTCTATTTAATACATCTAAAATAAGACTGTCGACAGAACTACTGAACAGGTTTCGATGAATTTACGATTAAGACTCAATCAATGTATTCTGCTTTCCAGCTTAAGAAAATCATTGAAGATGAAATAACTAAGTTTATTAACGTTTCAAGCCGTTTAGAGTCGTAATTTTTCATAAAGTGCATCGTATGCACATGCGAAACATATTAAAGTTTTCAAAAGATTTCGATGAAACTGTAATATAAACATTAGTATAGCATAGGTATGGCTATCAGCTAGTTTAAAATCTTATTTAATTAATTAACATACAACAGAACAATATGTTATTATATAAAGTATGGAGCTTAGAAAAGAAGAGATTAAAACCATCTTCTTTTATTCGTAGTGTACATTATATGTACTGCATCTGTTGCTCTGATAAGCGCATTGGTTAAAGCGTGGGAGGTCCTAGGGTAGATAATGGAATAATAGTTTTGGCCGAGCACCGAGATCTGTTCAATTACAGTAGATATAGAGAGTTTAAACATGGTTAACTGTTAAGCTTCATTGATGCATAGAGATGAGATTAAAAAAATTTCAGATTGAGGCGTGTGCAGAGAAAAATTGAAAAGTTACACGATTGAAAAGATAAATTGCCAAAAATTTTAGTGGCCTTCATGAAGCTAAATAGTTAAACATGCGTTGAGCGCGAGAGGTCCTGGTTTATAATCCCGGGGAAACAGTAAATTGTTTCGTTTGGGCACGGCACAGAAGTCTGATCAACTACTCCATTATAAAAAACCGATTACTGAAACGGACGCAGAAATGTGTTCGACCCATGCCCCACGAGGGGAAACAGGATTTCATTCACTTTTACTTCATGACCTTTAAATTGCCCATAAGTGACCCTATATGAGGCTGCTAGAGCCAAAGTAGCCTAAATACAAAAACACGATTTTTAATAAGAACGGAAATAAAAATGCGCAATTAACTGAGGCGAAATTATTTGTGTAAGAATTATGTTAACCATTTTCGGTCACTGTGCTCTTGTAGATTAACATTTTTAAACTGTGACAATATAAATAAGTCAAGTCATAAAATTGCAGTTAGCTAGCGCCCTAGTATTAACTTTTTTGCAAAAAACAATCTGTCAAACCAATGTAATTAATTATTTTACATCACATAATTATAATTTCTTATGTAATGTATAAATTTATAATTTAAAGCATAACATAATATAATAATATGTCAAACGTTTTCCATTTCCCGCACAATACGCATTTTTAAATAAAACGCTAACTGTTTAAAACGCGATATATTTTAGTTAAACTCGTTAAAAATTAATTTAATTACGGCCAGTTTAAACGTCGGGCCGTTCGTCGTTGAAAAGTAATATATACCGCGTTTTAAATCGTTAAAGAGTTTTATTTCAATGTGTACTACTCGCGTAAACTACAGACAGTTTACGCATTTTTGGGACGGTCCCTGAGTTGTCTTAGCGGGTCGTACATGCGTTTTGAAAGTTATTCCTGAAATTACTATGAAAAATGACTATAAGCGCAAAACAGACCACATAGCGGAAACAGGATTTTCCTTTTTACGGACAGATTATAAAAACCGCACAGATAAAACACTTCCGCAACATTCCATAACAATTATATAGCAGTCATTATTATATCGTTATTTGAGACGGTACGTACAGTGTTGACTTTTAATTAATTAGCTAACTTTCGGTTAGTACTTACTTTCGTATAATTTGCTTATAAAAAAGTGAAAAAGAAATTATACGAATGAATATTGTTTATAAGAACTAAACAAATAGTTTATATTTAAATAAAACACTTGAACTGTTTAAAACACGATATATATTAGTTAAACTAATTTGAAAATTAGTCTCACCGCGACCACGGCTGCTGCAATGCATCGGAAATGTCGGGCCGTGGTTGAAATAATTGTCAAATAAGTTTAACTAATATATATCGCGGTTTAAACCGTTCAAGTGTTTTATTTAAATGTGTAAAACATGTTAATATAGATTTAAACAATAATATGACTTATTTATATTAAATAAAAAATATAAGTAAACCTTTCTCGCGGATTTTGTACTACTTGCTCATAAAACAATATAGGTATAGATTAACAAATACATTTTGCGTTTGTAATCGTTAACTTTTTTTATATTTAATATTATTCTGAACCACTCCGAAGTCGCATACTTTTATTATGTGTAGATTGAAGGTATAGAAATTCAGTTTATGGTTTAAGTTGTCTCGTAGGTCCAGTGCTTAATACACTCGAGGTCTACAGATCGAATACTGGGCTGGCTAAAAAATAGCTCTGGTATTTGGGATTTTCGTATTTTTATCCTCGGTTAACCCAAAACTGTTGGTCTTTTGACCAGTTTGTGTACCAAGTGGGATAATATTAGGTTGAAACTCATATATGTACTAACTTCAATGTTGTCTAGAATTGAAAGTAGGTATTTTTTACTATTGTATTATAAAAAATTTGTAATTTTTTATTCTGTTTATTTTTTACTTTATTGTTATTTTTTGATCTATTTATTTAAGAAATGCACAGCTTTGCACAACTAAACGTATCACAGTTTTTAATAAGAACGTCTTCAATGGAGTTAAAATGATAAGCTTTTATCGCAAAGGCATTTATTTGAATAAAACACTTTAACAGATATATATACAGTATAGTATATATAGACAGTATTTTACACTTTAACAGTTTAAAACGCTATATATACTAGTCATACAAACTTATTTGGAAATTATGTTTACTACGGCGCGACGTCTCCCCGTGTTGGTTACTTAAAGTGTTTTATTTAAAAGTAAGTACAGACATTGGTTCATTAGATTTACATAAAAATATTAAAAAATAGTCCGTAACTTTAGCTAGTTGGTTTCTCAAGAAGATGAGTCTACGCTAATCCACTTGTGACCGTACAGTTTGAAAACTATTAAATTTAAACAACTTTTTTAGTATGGTATTAATAATCCATAGATTAGTAGACCGCATCTGTAACTAAATATAAATATCGAAATTCACTAAGTTTACAAACCACCGTCCATGTGATCGTCTGTCCTTCTCTATCATAAAAAAGATCATGCCAGAATTTGAGATACCATAACTTTATATAAACTTCTTAACTCGAAGCACTTATGACATGCCGTAATAAATCCATTGAAGTCTATGACGTTCTTATAAAAAACGTGACAGTCATCATTCGCCATCAACCCACCATCTTTCTATTGCAAAACGCGCACAGACAAACGTCACAAGTGACAGTGACTGAGTGTTGCCATAGTCGGGAAAACTGCGCCAATGCGTGTCTTTTTGCTACTGAAGATGTGGTGCAGGCGGCAGGCGGCTGCGGCCATTTTGCCGTTGTTATTGACGGGTTGGCTCACTGGGGAATCCAGTGAGGCGTTGACGACGTTCGGAAAGAGTAACACGCAACCACCAAAGGAAATAGCGCCAACACCGCCGCCAGGTAAAAGGTTTCTTTTTCTTCTTGGTTTCTTCTTCTTCTTATGCCAAAGTCATGTGTCTATAGTAGGAATGACAAGTAGTAATAGAGTAAATTATTGGTATTTTTAGTTTATTATTTGACACTAAGAAAATAAATGTATTTAAAAAGATAAGCTTTCTATACTTTGTCTTATATAGAATGATGAGTTTGACAGTAAACTTATCATTCTATACCCATGTATTGCCTGTAGTTTACGCGAGTAGTACACATTTAAAAAAACTTTTATAACATATTTGCTCGTAAAGTGGTTGTAATTACACCAATTTCAATATCGTAATGTATCTCTATGTAATGTAAAAGGCACGTGTTTTTAAATAAAGTTTTGAGATACTCCGTCTAAAAATGAACGATACTTTTAAAAATCTTAGCAAAGAGGTTTTATGTCAAGAAAGTGGTCAATATTTTATGAATAAAACTATCTTTGGGAAATAAAATATAACAAATATACATTTAATTAAATTAATTCTGACAATAAATGACAACCTGACAACAAATTACAATCTGTAGTAATATCGCCTCGGGTGTAATTTTCAACTTACCGCACTTATATTATAGTGTACTATTAACGAACTAACAGCTATAAGCGATAGAGTAACCAGTTGTAAAGTTATATACAAATAGTGTCTATAGTTTACGCGAGTAGTACAAATAAAACACTTAAACGGTTTAAAACGCGATGAATTAGTTAAACTTATTTGAAAATTATTTTTATTTTTAACTTCGGCCCGACGTTTCGGACGCTTTGCAGCAGCCGTGGTCATAGGGAGGTCACTGCAAAGCATCCAATTTTCCGATAAGATTCCGATCCGAATTTTCAAATAAGTTTAACTAATATATCGCGTTTTAAACCTTTAAGGTGTTTTATACATACATATTTCTGTTCATCTATTTATGTATCTTATGGAATATTTTTTTTTATTAATTAGTATGAATTATCTATTCTTACCTTTATTTAAATTATAATCGTAATAATTGAATGGATTTACTAGCGATTACGAGCTGTCAGATTTTTACTGCGAGCTGTCAAAGCTATTGTTATAGTATTGAAGTTTAAGCAGCTATTTTGTAAAAATTATTGCACGTCACTTGTTGATATATATATATATATATATATATTTAAATATTTTTCTTCATTTTATCTGTATTGCACGACGTCCCATAATATTTATGCGAAGGTTGCCACTTGCCAGTTACAATTCGCCATAGACGAAAAGGCGGCTCTGTGCAAACTTTTTGTTTCTTTCTGTGGAAGCCCGTTTCTCAAATTTTAAAATGACATATTTTTAAGCAGTTCCTATAAGTTTGTGACTAAGTTGTGTTGAAAAATCCAATAAACATTGACAATGAAGATTAAAATAAATTTATACTATATTTTTTAATTAAAGTCTGGCTGCAACAAACGTACGTGTTATTGCATTTTTTTTCTTTATGGACTGCCAGTATTCTGCCAAAACTAGGCGATAGCTTCTGGATGTAATATTCTTAATTTTTATAACATTTTCATCGCGTGATCGAGCCCTTTAGCCATCAATCTACCGTCGCGTCATTGATTGATGTTACGTACAATCCGATGTTAGAAATATGAACACGCGATTCTATTTTTATACTCTTCGCTGTAACTCGAAAAGATACAATCGATTAATAATCGAGTTACAGTCGACTTAAAGTTACGGATAATAGTTTTGATCATTCAGCACTTTGTATATCCTAACAAAAATCTAATTTGATTGAAAAATAATTTAACATAATATTTGTATAAAAAAATGTAAGCAAATAATATTTCTAGTGGTCACGTGTCTATTGGATCTATCTGCGTCGCTTGTAGTGGCTTTTTTTCTTGCTTGTGTTAAATCGTGTGTTAATATTTTTATCTCTCTACTAACTACGTTTTTAGTTTGTTATCCGAGCCAGTACTAAGGAATTTTTATTAAATTTTCTATCATTATAACAATGACATGTCATGATTTTGAAAAGCTCTTTTTAAAGAAAAAAACCTTTTAAATGATTCTTCAAAATTTTAGTATTCGTGTATTAATTAAGAAAAATATTTAGATTATGTTTTGAGGGATGAACTGATTAAATCTCAAAGTACATAGAACTTATAGTGATGACCAGCTCTGCAATGTACGGGTTTAAATAGAGGTCCTGGGTTAAAAACTTAGGAAAATAGATGATGATTCTCTGCCTCACGTCCTATCTGTGGGGTCTTACTTTAAATAGGTACACATTACTATTTTATATGATATGATAAAAACTGATAGATTACTTATGGGGTAAAGAAAGAACAAACGTACTAACCTTTGGTGTAAGTCTTTAACTAGTCGTTTTGGTTTGTAGGGTCATGGATTTAAAAGGCCCAATACTACTATGCATATACGCGTGATGGTGCGTGCCAAAATATCGATCCTACTGTAATTAGCAGACCTTGCTTCAGAAGTGGCCTTGTAGACCTTTTAATATTAGCCGAAGGAAGTATTTTATTATATACTAGCTGTGCCAGCGACTTGGTCCGCGAAAATCATTTCAAGAGGGATTATTCTTTCATACATATTTTTTGAGTACCATCAACCATTTTTGCAGCGTACGCCTCAAAAATACATAACGATACTGTTTTTTCACATTTCTCGCTGTATCTTCGCTCATATTAATTGCAGGGCAATATTTTATAGCCCATAGCCTCCTTCGATAAATGCTCTTGCCAACACAGAAATAATTTTTTAATTCAAACCCGTAGTTCCTGAGCAAACAAACAAACTCTTCAGCTTTATATATTAGTATAGATTTCCTTCTTTCCTTCTAAGAGCTTTACTTGTTGTATCTTTTAAGACTGTGTCGAAATCCATAAGATCATTTTTCTCAAATAGTCTAGGCAAATTATCCAAAGCAACCAAGTTGTCAGTCAGCGCATCTTATCTTATGTGGTTGAGGTTATTACATAGAAGACATTAATGCTTTAACAATTCGTTATGTAGATTTTTCTAGAACTCAAGGAGCTGTAGACATCGAAGATAACATAAGTTATGTAAGACTTATGAAATGTCGTATTTTATTCTGTACCACGTCGTGCCTGTCATCTGACATAAAATATGACCTTGTTTTGTGTAACTTATTATAATACAAGTTGCCTCCCGTATTTTATGAAATACTAGCTCTTCCTGCGACATTGTTCGCGATGAATAATTATTTTGGGCATCATATTATTAATTTTCGCAAACCTCGTCTTTAGCTTTATAAATGCTGTCAACCACGACGTCGTGCTCGTCCCCTTGTTGGTGCAAGTTAATCTTTAAAGATATTAATTTTTTTAAGGTCACTTAAAGAATTATTCTGTCTATTAATATTGACTAAATAAAGCCTTATGAATTTGTGAATCCTATCGCAGCGGTTTATAATATTTGAGAGAACCAAAAGTTTAAATACTTATTATTTACTTAAGTACTAGTAGTAAGTAACACACTTAAATATAATTAACGGTTTCAAACGTGAAACGGGAACGACGACTGCTGCATAACACCGAAACATCGGGCCGTAGTTAAAATAAAATAAGTTAAGTAATATATTTCTCGTTTTAAACAGTGCCATCGGCCTCGGTTATCACAGGTGTAGGGGTATATCACCATAAAGTGAACATAAGTGTCTGTCATTAAAAAAAAGGTAGTTTCAGATATTTCACGAGATTGAAACACACAACACACAATATTGTTTATTATCACACTCTTATTTAATACTAGCTGCGTTCAGCGACTTCGTCCACGTGGAATAGTTATTTTGGGCGTCCACATTTATTCTTTTTAAACCTTTTCATCTTTATATTAAGCTAATTTTAAGCTGTTACCCACGACATCGGTCGGGACCCGTTGCTCGCGGCGCGTAGGTCGCGTCCCGTCTTTCTTGTAAGTAATCTTAAAAAGTAGACATAATATATTGTCGCGGACATTTTTTTAGACCATTTGAAGAGGAATAATTCTTTAAAAATCGAAAATAAATTTAAAAAAATTTTGACTCGGGCAGAACTTGAACCGGCATCGTCAGCGTTCCGTGCTGTCGCTCTAGGAATAATTCTTTCTTATATGTTTTTTGGGTGTCTTGAACGGACGGAGATTAAAAATTTTCCCCGTTTTGTTCACATTTCCCGCTGTTCTCGCTTCTATTAGTCACAGCGCGATGCTTTATAGCCTATAGCCTTCCTCGATAAATGCTCTAACCAACACAAAAATAATGTCTCACTTCGAACCTGTAGTTCCTCAGATTAGCGCGTTCAAACAAACAAACTCTTCAGCTTTATATATTAGTATAGATTTAACTTTGACAATAAGAGGCTACTATCACCCATAATGTACAAACACCGCGTGGCATATAAAAAAAAACCATTTTCTATTTACGTAATTGGCATTTCTAGTAGAACCGCACTATAATGGGACATTTTGGTACTTCCGCTGTAAATGGTTGATAAGAATCGTTCTAATGCCACGTTTTTACTGCAAAGATTTTTTACTACATCGAGTTTCTTCTATGTCTAACGTTTTATTTATTACTACAAAATGAATAACCTTTTAAGACCGCGTTTTTGCTGTTAGACGTATGACAGTGAAACCCCGTTTCCCCCTCGTGGGGCATGGGGCGAATACATTTTTGTGTAGTAGTTATCAGACTTCTGTGCCCTGCCCGACCGAAACAAATTTTTATTTCCCTGGGATTCTGATAGATACTTCTCAGATGTCTGACAGATGCCTTGTTAAAAATTATCTTTTTTTAATAAAACCCATTTGTCTACGGCCGCAGCCGCCGTGGTCACGGGGCGACTATTAATGGAGGTTGTCCCTAATGTAGTTAAACCAAAAATACGTTTAAATAAAACTTTAACGGTTTAAAACGCGATATATTAGTTAAACTTGTAAAGCAGCCGAAACGTCGGGCCGAAGTAAAAAATCATTTTCAAATGCGTTTAACTAGTATATCGCGTTCTAAACCGATATACGCGATATAGTTTTAAACCGTTAAAGTGTTTTATTTCAATGTGTAGGTACAACTCGCATAAACTGTAGACAATATCAAAAATACGTTTCCAATTTCGCGTTTCAAAGCGTTAAATGGGATTTATTTAACTTTAACTATGTTCTCAACTTGACTTAACTTCAGACAAAACTTACTTATACTATATCCTAAGACACTTATTTGTTATGTTTACTTGAGTAATTTCTAACGGTTTAAAACTATGGATGATCATTTGTAAAAGTCATATTTCGAAAGCTGAAACTATTTAATGAAATTATTTTAAATATTTTTAACTCATTATAAAATAAATAAATCTATATTTACTCTAATTAATCACCCGTGACCAAAACTGCAAAGAATCCGAAACGTCGACCGTAGTTAAAATAAATTAAATGTAACTTAGACGCGTTTTACACCGTTAAAGAGTTTCAGAGTTTAATTTTACAGACAAACGTTTAATGGCTACATTATAATAGAGGTAAAACTCAACGAAGTTAGTAGCTCTTAGGTGGAAGCAGTAAAGCAAACGTGAAATACCGTAGCGGGTTTATAGGTCAAAGATAAGCCGCGGGTCAACATATTTTGGTTCAACTTCCGCCAGCCGACCGAAGGACGCAGCTATCTACCGTCTGAATTAATGCGCCACTGTAGAATCGCTAATTACATAGCCTCAGTGTAGTGGTAGCAACGTATGCTGATAATCAGCAGGTGTGGGGTTTGATCCCCTCTAAGTTCAAAAAATTCCTAAATACTGTTAGTAGTTTACGCAGGTAGTACACATATATATACACTTAAACGGTTTAAAACGCGATGTATATTTGTTAAACTTTTTGATCTATGTCTACCCGTGACCACGGTTGCTGCAAAGCATCCGCAACGTAACATAAAGAACAATGATAAAATAAGACACACAAAACATAGAGACTTCACTACAGTTACGTATCCCGCTTATAAGACTGAAATGGCCATATAGCGAGAATGTCTAATAAAAGCTTCACGAGTAATCCAGTGGAAGGCCACCAGGCACGAGGGGAAAAGGGACCCTTGAGCCCAGACCATTGGCCCGCTAAGAAGTAATTTGAAACGATTTGCCGTCATAGACTGGTGCTGCATAGCACAAGACCGACAAAAGGGGGAGGCCACCGAAATCGGGTTTCCTGTTACATTACATACATATAACATATTTGACATAATGCACTGCAACACATCCGGAATGGACTCCTATTCACTAATATAGATATTGAAGCCAATTTAGGCATTTCGTGGCGAAATTTTAATTACCACCGTTTTTAAGATCCCATATGTTTTTTTCTAGTCGCTAAGTTTGTCTACCAAATATATACCAAATAATACATAACACATTGGAGGTTTCAACAAAATGCATGGTTCAATTTGTACTCAAATATATTAATAATTATTTTAGCTTTATGAGTTTACATCGGTTAATGAGTTCCAAACTCCACCGAGCTTAATTCAGTGTGAGTGGGAGTGTGAGTGTGAGTGTGAGTGGGAGTGTGAGTGGGAGTGTAAGTGGGAGTGTAAGTGGGAGTGTGAGTGGGAGTGTGAGTGGTAGTGTGAGTGGGAGTGTGTTCGTGGGAGTGTGAGTGAGAATGTGCGAAAGGCACAACCTAGCACCAAAATAAACCATCGCAACACAGCGGCATTGTGTTCCTTATGGCAAAGAATTATTACTTTGTCTAAGCCACGTATTTTTCAAAGATACTAAAACCACAAACAAAAACCACAGATACAAAACACCAGAGTGTGTTCTATTCGCAGATACTACAGAAGATTAATAAGAGTCTTATCAGTTCAATAATAGCATTCTCCTTTCAGCTCGACCCTGTTCGAAGCAAGCTGAATGCGCTGGAATCAGCAGCACGTCTTGCGTCAGGACCCACTACGACCCAGTCACCAGGTGCCTATGTGGTGACAACCAGCCTCCGGTCAATGGCCAGTGCGAAGCGCAGCCGAAAAGTAAGTTTAAGAGTCACAAAAGAAAGATAAGTAGATGGTTTTTATGACTTTTTGGTAGGTGAAATAACCTATAACCTATATCCCCAACCTATATCCTTACTAATATTATAAATGCGAAAGTAAGTCTGTCTGTCTGTCTGTTACTCTTTCACACCAAAACTACTGAACGGATTTGAATGAAATTTGGTACACATTCGGTCTAGACCCTGAGAAAGAACATAGCTACTTTTTATTGCGAAAAGGGGGTTGTAAGGGGTTAAAAAGGGGGTGGAAAGTTTGTATGGAAATTCGTGGTTTTTGAAGATAGAACATTATAGAGTGATGTAAGGTGAGAGTGTCGCGACAAAGTAGCACTTACAACATCGATTGGCTGCGATAATTGCGCAATTACATAAATTAATATACAGCCTAAATAATTAAAAATTCTACCCCAAGTCACTATTCCACGCGAACGAAGTCGCGGGCACAGCTAGTATTATATATAAATAACCCAAACATCCAAACAAAATGCGCTAGTTATTTTGGTTTTGAATATTGGGAAACCCACAGACTGAATATAATGTCCAAATTGCCAAACGAAGCCCAGATTGTAAATTGATTAGAAACATGTGGGACCCGATGGGAATCGAATAAACGACCCGTTGATTATAAGCCATACATTGCTACCAACTAGCCTATCAGCTCAATTTTGTGGGACGTTTAATTATCTGAAGTTTCTATCACTCTGATTCTGTCCGTTGATTATTACCATACATTGGCTAACTAAACGACTGAATATTTAGCGCCGCATAAAAAGCGACCTCTGATCTTTAAACGTAGGTATAATTTCGAAAGCTATCATTAATTTTATTTCTGAATGCCACACTTTTCCATAATATTCTTTTGTCTGAGAATTATTATCGTAATATCCGGTCGAAATTTCGTTTTGGCATACGATTTGATGCAAAATCAGCGTTAAAAGAACTTATACATAGAACTAGCTGTGACAGCGACTTCGTCTGCGTAGAATAAATATTTTCACCATGGAAATTTGTTTTTGCAAACCTATTGCGCATCTTAAAAAAAATCTTCATTAAAAAACCTTTAACTGCTTTCCTATCACCGAAATTACATTTCGCCCGACCCAGGAGCCGACCTGGGATCTCGTGATCTGAGGTACTGACCACCAACCAGTCTACTAAATCTATTTTTGACTAATTGTCTATAGTTTACTCGAGAAGTAAATATAACGTTTTTAACGGTTTTAAACCCGAAATATATTAGGTAACTTTAACCACAATCCGACGTTTTGGATACTTTGCACCACCCGTGGTTACGGAGGGACTAAAGATGGGGGGTGACCCTAATGTCAAATCAACTACGCTTGCTCTCTAAAATCAACTACGACGAAACAGTTGGCGCTAGCGTCACAGATTCAATTTCCCCTCGCGGAACTGACAACATTTTATGAAGCGATTATACTCGTAATGACGAAAACATTTCTTTCCGATGGCCGAACAACTCAAAAACCTAAGGTTTTCTACAAAATGGCCGCGAAATTCTTACAGATTAACAGTCACGGTAGCTCCCAAATCCTCCCCGTGCTGTAAATTTTGTTAAATCCAAATAAATGTTTCAATTTACAGATTCTCTATTTCTATAGAACGTCACTAATTAGGGTCGTAGTTGTAATATAATTAGCGCTTATCTATCCGTCATAACGTTGAAATATTTGAACATTCAACGAACTTTGAATTATCGTCGACCCGATCTCGCATGAGCCACGACTCCACCAATGTCACACGAAATATTACACTTAAACACGATACTTTAATTGGTGTAATGCTCTTAATATTCTTATAAGGTTTCATTTAATTTTCCCCTCTTCTACCGCTTTCGTTGCGCAATTACGTCCACGTTTTCAGGGTTCCGTACTAAACCGTGTCCTGTATTGCTAAGACGTCGTCGTATGTCTAGACTCTGTCTAAAAATTTGCAGGCTACAGCTTTAGTCGACTTTAGGCCTGACTGTAGTTTACGTCAGTACACATTGAAATAAAACACTTTTACGCATTAAACGCGATATATATTAGTTTAAAAAAGCTGCAAAGCATCCAAAACGTCGGGCCCTAGTTAAAATATTTTTCAAATAAAGTGTTTTATTTAAATACAGCTAAAGTCGACATTTTTACAAACTATGTGAGTCTTGTTACCTAGGAACAAATACAATAACGAAAACTCATCAGCATTAGAATATTAAGGAAGACTCACATACAAAAAAAAAGGGTTTTTTGATATTTTACTTGTATATACTGGGAATAGAGAAGCATTTTAAATAAACGAAATATTCCGTTGTTTTTCTATTTAAATTATTTTTAAAATAAAACAGACAGGACTATGAAGAAGTAAAATACTTAATAGATAATAATAATAAATCACTTTATCGCGCGAACTAAATAAATAATTAACATAAATTATATTTTTTGTTAATTTTCTACACATTAAACCTCTTTCCAGACCTCTACCACGTCTGTGACAACAGCGACGAATGCGGCGACGGTTTAATCTGTGGCGCGCCGAACATCACTAGCGCTGCGCCGGCACACATGCGCGTATTCTCGCCACAGGACAAAATCTGCCTTTGCGACACTGAAAATGGATATAAGGAGAAAGAACACACTTGCAATGGTTAGTTTGAAGTAGCTCCGGGTACGATATTAATAAGTTTATTATTTTTTAATTAGGACTATGAAATTCTGGCCTATAGTCTATACTCATAAAGCTTAAGAGTTTGTTTGTATGAACGCACTAATCTCAGGAACTATTAGTTCGAATTGATTTAATTGTGTTGGTTAGAAAATATCACGAGCGACGCTTTCGGCTATGAAACGAACGAAGTTGCTGGCCCAGCTAGTTAATATAGATCAGTGAAACGGCCACAAACTAAAGTCCGCCCGTCCCTTCAAGAGTCAAGATTTCGATTCATTATTATTAAAACTATAAAGTAAATTATTAGACCAACGAGCCCGTAAAATCGAATCGGTATAAACGGGTCTTGTTGACTCATGCGTCACTTATGTTTATATTTAATAAATCAATGTTTCAGATGCCGACATCCTCAAGATATCAATGTTCGCTATAATATTCGTCTCCTGCGTAAGGAAAATAATCCTGTAAACTTTATAACCACGAGTTCTAATAAAATAATATTTGCTCATGTAAGATACACCGTCCACTAATCGTCAAGCACGCTAAGAATACCACAGAAAGATTATTTACATTTGTCAATATTCTATCATCGATTGTTTTCGATTGACTACTGTAACGAAATATTAATTATTTTCGTATATAGCTATTACATAGAAAAAAAGCAGTATCATATTATTACGCTGTTATAACGTTATTTAACACAATATGTAGATAACGCGAATTGATTTTTTTAATAAACTAAGTCGCTTTTTATTTAACAAAAAAAAAAAAAATTTTTTATTCTAAAGCAGCAATATAACTGAAAAAAACTTTGTCACTTCATAATTATAATAATAAACAAATATTGTTAAATATTTTACATTTAACGTTTACCCTACAGTTGCATTAACTAAACTTTTGTGTATGACACCAAATTATCATCATTTTAAATGTCACACGTTTTACATTGCACATGACAGCTTATATACTATTAATTGAATAAAAAACACAGACGGGAGTCGCACCCACGACCGTCTTATCGTTCCTGAGATCTACCCAATAAGCTACGATGTCTTTGGCTATTGATTCGACTGTGTTATGACTTATTTTTAAAATTAAAAATCTATCTAAATGTACGACACGGGCAGGAGTCGAACCGTTATCCACACAGCATTCTCTCTAGCTGTAACCAATTGAGCTACCGTGTCGCATTAATCTAAAATATAAATAGCCCTTTTATTTATATAATGCACTCATGCGCAATAACTAAGAAGACATTTATCGTATTTTGAATATTCTTCTGACGCAATATAATTTACAACACAGTATTAAATATAATTGTGAGTTAGATGTAAATATGCAAATATTAAGGCACCAACGTTTTCAGTACAAATTAGTTTTATTAACACAAATCTTTCCGTTTAACAACATAATTGTTATAGCTAATTGGTCGTGACAAGTGACAAGATTTTTTAGATATTGCGATTTTTCGATAGATTTTAAGATTAACATAAGTAAAGTTTGTGATTGCTAAATGTCCTCTAGTATGTAAGTAGATTATTTTTGATTGTAACTTTAGATAAGTGTCGTGTTAGTTTGTGTTTCCAATAAAGTATTATCTTACTGCACGCTTTTCGTGTGTTTATTTTTAACCAACAAACAAATACAAATACAAATACAAATTCTTTATTCACCAAAACTGTGTACATAACATTACAGGGTGTGCTAGCCCCCACACTAGGATTCCCTGTGTCGTGGGCGGCTAGACTCTTCCGGTGCATTTCGAGAAAAACAATGAAAAACTTAGTATCTACTATGTACTTATAAAGTTATTATATGCTAAGTATTTAAATAATAAAAAATAAACTTAAAAATATGGATAACATTTTGTCATGCAATTACCTTAATACAGTTTTCTGTTTGAGTATAATTTAATTTTAGAAGAAACACTTTAATTTTATTTAATTGGGAAGAATAAGAAGTAAGTGGGCTAATTATATTTTTATTAATGAATAAGTTAAGCAGGAAGGGACCTTTAAAAGTAAAAAATCGTTGGGCAAAAGAGGTGTGTTTGAGCGGAGTTCGGAATTGGACTTTTCGTTGTGTTAAAGATGTTTGTTCGGATGTTTTAGATTGTGATGGCGTTTTGAGTTGGCGACGACAAGTTGATATAATATACAGTTGCCTGACCGTCAGGAGATTACATTCTTTGTATAATTCTGAAGTTGGATGCCGAAACGGTTTTCTAAGGGAAATTTTTAGGATAGCACGCTGTGCCCGTTCTATTTTGAGCATAAGACCTGTTACCGCACCGCCCCATGTGGAAATGCAATAAGATAACACAGATTGGCATAAAGCTATATAGACTGTCCTAATAGTATTAGTCTCTGCCGCCTTACTGAGGCGTTTAAAGGCGCTTGAAAGTTTTCGGACACGAGCGCACAGATAACTAATGTGAGGACCCCAAGAAAGCCTCGAGTCTACCATTACCCCGAGGTATTTAATAGAATCAGTCGATTCTATGGTTGGACATTGGCAGGTCGAGAAGGGGTTATGACAAGAATGGAGTTTAATAGGGGGGATTGGTTTTGGGGCAGTTGCCTTAGAGATGTTAAAACAAATGTATTTAGTTTTTGTTGTATTAAGCGAAAGAAGATTATTGGTGAGCCATTGAGAAATACGGGTGAGACCCGTTTGGGCAACGAGGGCGGCTTGTTCCCAGGAACGTGAATAAAAGATAATCGCCGTGTCGTCAGCGAAGGAGAATAACTTGGCATTAGAAAGCTTCATTGTACATAAGTCGTTAATATAGATTAGAAATAGAGAACTGCTTATTGCACTACCCTGTGGCAAGCCGTAGGAGACTACTTTTTCCAGGCTTTTTAAACTATCTATTCTGACTATTTGTTTTCTGTTGGATAGGTAAGATCGGAACCAGTTTAGGATGTTGCCCCGGAATCCTAATCTTTCCATTTTTTCCAACAGGATTGGTCTGGAGATAGTGTCAAAAGCTTTCGCTACATCGAGAAAAACACCAATACACCTTTGACCCTCGTCCAATTTTGAGCTAACAGTCTCAACCAGAGCAGTAGTTGCGTCTTCTGTCGATTTGTTATGCCTAAAACCAAATTGGTTATTAGCTAGCATGTCTTCCTTTTCCCAGTAATTGAGTAGTCTTGTATTGACGACTTTCTCCATAATTTTAGCTAAGCTTGGGAGAAGTGAGATAGGGCGGTAATTCGAAACTTGCGTCTTGCAACCGGATTTATGAACTGGGGTAATGTACGCAAGTTTCCACGATTCGGGAAAAATTCCTTGTTCAATACTGAGGTTACAAATGTATGCTATAGGCGCTGCTAATATATTTTTTAGGGAAATAATTATACGGTTGCTTATGATGTCATGTCCTGGGGCCGCATGGGGTTTAAGGGAGTTAATAATCTTAAGGATTTCACGCTCGTCGCAAGGGAGAAACAGAAAAGAGTTAGGTTTGGAGGGAATGGAAATATTCTGGACTAGATCTTTTTCAGTTCGCTTTAATTTGAGCAAGGTTTCTGTAGAAATCTTTTCGCCAATCGTTGAAAAGAATGAATTTACAGTATTGAGGGATTCTTCCGGGTTTGGTTTGATATTTAGTAATTTACTTGAATTTTCTTTATTAGAATTAAGATTGCATATATTTTTGATACATTTCCAGAGTTTTCGGTTGTCGTTTTTATTTTCTTGTATAGTCATGCTGTCGTGAAGATTTTTAAGGTTTTGGAGGATATTGTTACAATAGTTGCGATACTGAGTGTATTCATTTTGGAGTGTTTGATTGTTCGGCTTTTTTCTGGTTAGTGAGTGTAGATAGTCTCTTTTTCTAACACAGCGTAATAGTCCAGGAGTCATCCATTGTTTTCTGATTGCTTTGGAATTTCTTTGGGATCGTGTTTTGGTATGGGCTTTAATAGATTTATTTAAGCTGTTTGTTAAAGCCGTGACAGCTTCGTTTATGTTAGTAAAGGACCATATAAAACTCCAGTCAACCGAAGAAAGGTCATTTTTTAATTTATCAAAATCAATTACCTGATAAGAGATAGAAGAATTAATTTTTTGGGTGGTGTGAGGACGTGATTGCTCGATTCCGATAATGACAGACATATGATCAGTGACTTGGGAAGGGCAGACGGCTACTTTTGTAGGAAGGTTTGATCTAAACAAAGCGTGATCTAAGCAGTTATCTCCGCGGGTCGGAATGAATTGACCTTGGATAAATCCATGGTAATTCACTAGCTCTAGCAGTTTGTAAGCTCTCAAATCGTCAGTCAGCTCCTTCAGGTCTATATTAAGGTCCCCAATAATGTAGATAGGTTGACCGATGTGGGAGAGAATTATGTTTTCTAGTGCGTTGAGAAAGGCATCAACGTTGTATGTGGATGGAGATCTATATATAGATATGATTACCGTTTCACTATTCAACACACTAACTAGAAAATTTGCTTCAGGATAAACCGGTTCAGTAGTAATCAGGTTCATGCAGTTTCTGTAGAATATAACAATTCCATCGCATTTATTTTTGTAACTTTGGGAGAAAGTGCATATGTATCCGTCAAGAATTAAGCCTGTAAAGTTTTTATCAATCCAGCACTCTGTTAGAATGATTAAATCCGGCTTGAATTGAAGTCTTGTTAGGAAAACTAGAAAACTATCAAAATTTTTATTTATGCTTCGAATATTTTGGGACACTATTGTTAAGTTGGAAGAGTTGAAAAAAGTTTTGCAGTCTTCAGGATATGTAAGGTATTCATTGGGTATAAAATGTGTATTGTCAATATCGCGAATTAAATTAATATTATCGAATTTAAATAGATGGGTGTAGTAGGACGCAAAACTTTGCCTTTAAAAAATTATAATAATACTTGGTTAATGTGGAAGAAAGTGTATAACTTGTAGTACAACTAATTGTTTTACATGAGATAACTAAGTGTTTAGGAATGACATTAATGTTTCCTTGGAGTGTTGGTAATAAAAATAAATAGAACATTTGTTTTAGAAATTCCAAGACGTTCGACCCGACTAGAGTAAAATTATAATAACTATGTTGATAACTGAAGTGTGATACTAAACAATTTAATAGGTGTTTGAGAATACTATATAACTTGGCGTAATGGATTGATAACATTACATTTGATTTATGTTTTGACATTAATAAGTTAAGTAAAATTAAGACTAGTCATGCGCTATTTAGCAAGTTGAGTTGCTCTTCGTTCTTTATGAGGATGTATTTGGATCCGTTATTTTTCCTAAGATATACGTTACCATTCGAAGACCAGCAATAGTCGTATTGTTCTGATTTAGCCAACTCCCTCGCCAGAAAGAAAAGCCGCTTAGCCTTCGGTGTAAGAAATTCTGAGACATATATAGGAGTATGTCCCACCATTCCTATGTGGCTGCAGTTCAGTTGACTCGATCTGTGCTCCTTGTTATACTTTCGAACAGCGCTTAAG